GTTTCCATAGTGAAAGGTAAGAAGTAGAATTAGTTGTACTGCAGCAACCCTGCAAGTCTCAAAACATTTGGAGATTTATGCAGGGAAATTTCTTTCAATATTCTTTTGATAGCGATTTTGCTTCTATAAACTGCTCATGGCTTGAAAAAATTTTGATTGACGAACTGTGTCAAAATCAGGTAATCAACTACAGCGTTTAAACTATGAGGGGAAAGGCCTTCTCCTATTTTTTCTTTTTCCACGGGGAATGACGAGAGGGACTGTTGTGGATGGGAAAAGGTTAGCACAAAATTTCTCTCTCATTGTATATTCAACGTTAAAGTGAAAAGTTATAAGCTGTTTGTTTTCATCAGTTAAGCTGAAAACGAAAAGTGTATCGCAAAATCTCGGTAACTTTTTTTTACTGTGTCTCTTCTTGCATTGTTGTTTCGTTTCAAATTCTTCTGCTTCCCTTTTGCTGTTAAATCCCGAACTGTGCAGCTGGGAACACGCTAACGTTGATGGCACATCATCTTCTCTTGACAGAAATATATGCTCACTGTGCAAACTGTTCCTTCTAGCGATTTTTTTAGTTTAATGGCGGCGTCCTGACCTCCCGTAAAAGGATTTCCTGTGAGAAAAAGCGTACCGATGAAATAAAGACAATAATTTGAGTTTCACTTCATATACAATATGTTGTCTTAAACTTTCCAAGTCTGACTTCAAGCAGTCTTCTCAATCGTATTCCTACGTTAAAGCTGCAGCAAACATGTTGAATATAATGTCTTTCTGCTGTTTCTGCAGTCAACCTGCTCCACCGATGTTTTTTTTTTGGCACTTCTCAAGTAGGGTTTCGCATTATTTCCCATTAGGCAGACTGGCAGGCTATTTCTACCGCATTTGACGGGATCATTAACGCCGAGGAGCGATTGTTCTTCGAGGCAATCGCTCTTAATGCCAGGCGGAATTAACCATCCGATGACTCCGATGGCGTATGAGCGCAAAGGAGTGGAGTTTATGTTGCTCATTTGCTGCGTAGTTGCTAGATATCAGAATAAAATGGTATTCGGGAAAGCTAAGAGATCAGTTTGCCCTTCTTTAAATCTTGTTCACTCATGGTTGAGCTATAGAATAAGATAGTTAATTAATTTTATTTGGGAAACAATAGATAGCGACCACTTATTGGAAGCTGCGTCGCTATTGCTGTTTTATGTTACGAGCACATATTCACCTAACTCATTTATTAAGCGATAGTGAACTTCGTAACTTATTAGTAACTTACTGTAGCAGCAATGACCTTCTGTCCCACCTGCTCCGTCGCAATACACTTGGCCAGTACCGCTCAATATATATTCAATGCCGTCAACCTCGTGCTTATGACAATCTGTGTCACTGTTGCAGCTGCGGTCAAATTGGTACTGAAATAAAGCAACATGAATTCATCAAACCTTCGTTGAGTGAAGTTTAAGCTTAAAGCGAATTTCAATATTGTTGCAACTCAAATTTGTACGTTGCAACGAGTCTAAGGCTTTAACTAGATGTACCACTGTTGGAGTATGAATTACGAGTACGTTATCCCAAGCTTTTTCGAAATTAGTTTGCTTGTTCAGGTACTTGATTTATTATCGTCGCAGCAGTATAAAGTAGTTCTTATCAGATTTGATCTAAATGAGTAAACACTTGATA